TACGGAAGGAGAGGGAGCAAGAGTGAACGCAGATTGTAGGGAGATTAATTCGTTAAGTATGCCTGGGAATTGCACCTTGACAAGATAGAAGAGGTGAGAATGAGCAATATCTTTGAAACATGGCAGGCAGGGAGGGTTCTGGGATTGGAAGTCCACCCACCTTCAGGCATGCTGGCTGGGGAATTCTGGGAGTGGAAGTACTAGAGCAACATATCTCGTTGATTCCCTTGCAGGAATTTTACGGCGAGAATGTTAAAAACTCCCCGGATTACGAACGGATTGTGAACAAGCGGCATTTTAAGAGGATCATGGGCCTTCTGGAGGGGCAGAAGATTGCCTACGGGGGCGAAGCTGATGAGTCTGCCTGTTTCATAGGTGAGTCCAGAAACAGATCAGTTGCGAAAAAACTCCCAGGGGAGTAAAAACAACCACCCGTCAATCTGTCGGGGCCTTTGATGCATCTTGTAGAAGAACTTGGGGGGGGGGGCATTCCAGATTTGTAGTTTTGCCCAAGAGTCAAAGACGAACAGGTCACTTCAAAGTTTAATGGGTTCATCTCTTTTTAAAAAACAGCCTCGTTAAACGATGCCCTTTATTGACCAGACTGCAGATGTTTAAGGTAAAAGTTTGCAGAGATTGCAGGGGGGAAATATATCTTAAAATAGGTGTTCCTTCCCCCATTGATTTTGCTTGTTGGAAGCCCCCTGGGAAGGTCACATATGGCGATCACATGATCCTGAGATGCTGGTTGCCAAGCACCCAGATTGCAATCACAAGATTGTGGGGGCGCTGCAACGGTCGTAACTTTGGGCACTGGTCGTAAGTCACTTTTTTTTAGCACCATTGTAACTTTGAACGGTCACTAAATGAATGGTTGTTAAGCAAGGACTACCTGTACCTTAAAATAGGTGTTCCTCCCCCTGCCATGCACTTAAAAGAGTTGTGTTCTCTGAGATGTATAGTACAACGTGTATGTGTGCCTTAAAAGGAAGGGCAACAACAGGTTGCTATGTGAAGTCAGTCTTCCCTTCTAGAGATGTTCGAACTACATTTCCCAGAGTCAGGTTGGTGCAGTGGGGAAGGTGCTGGGCTAGAAACCGGGAGACCGTGAGTTCTAGTCCTCCTTGGAGCATGGAAGGTCCCTGGGTGACTCCAACTCTCTCAGGTCCACCCACCCTCGCAGGGTTGTTGTAAGCAACATAAGAGGAGGGAGCATTAGGTACGCCCCCTGAACTGTAAAAAAATAAAGGTGGGATATAAACGTATAAAAATAGCACTCTCCGCCAATATTGGCCACAGTGGAACTGGAGCTGCAGGTTCCGACCCTTCTAAGACGACCCTCCACGCCTTCATCCGATGCTCTCCTTTGTCAGTAGCAGTGCCTCTGAGGGTCAACAGAGCGACATTCAGGTCTCCAGCATGCTACGGTACCAGCCCACTGCTCAGAACACCTGCTCTGGCAGAATTTGCAGGGATGGCGAAACCGACCTGCTTGGTCAGAGGAAAAAAAACCAAAAACTTTTCTGAAAGACTGGAATATGGGCTTTTGGCTGAAGGTCGATAAAAAGGATGTGACGATTTATGGGTCTGACGACTTGAAAAAAAATGTGGGTTAGGGGCTGAAGGGGTTTATATAAGAGCCAAGGGGGAGGAGGGATTATAAAATTGTAATTGTCTGTTGAAGAGAAGGTCGGAAGTCATTATATTTCATAACTTGAGTTTCTTTCGTTCCTTTTTTTCTTGTCTTGCACTTTTTCTTTTTTTCTTCTTTCTTTCTCCTTTTCTTTTTCTTTTTTAGATTTGTCTTTTAGTTTTTCTCAATATTCTCAATAAATATAAGAACGCACCCTTGCTTCGTTTCGCCCGGCGGTAAGCCAGCCCTGGCCTTGCAACCGCAGCGAAGAATCACTGCTGTTTTCGCTGCCATTGTCCCCTCTTCCCTTTGCAGCACCCACCATCCTCACAGACGTCAGCCCGGAAGCCCGGGTCATGCAGGAGGAGATCTTCGGCCCGATCCTCCCCATCATCACGGTGAAGAGCATTGATGAAGCCATCCAGTTCATCAACCAGCGAGAGAAACCCCTGGCTCTCTACGTCTTCTCAAACAACAACAAGGTAGAGTTTGCCTCCCCACATTCACGAGCAGGCTTCGCATCCTGGCAGACCCATTTAAAAGTCCTTAAACTCAGGACCATCTTCCTTTTAGGTACCTGCAGCAGTCTCCTCTTTCCAACATAAGTATTCACTTTTTTATTAAGACACTTTATATGGTGATGACTCTGGGCAGCGTACCAGGATTAAAATCGACAAATAAACCTGACATTCCAAATAATAAATGTCCGAGGCCACAGAAATCATTCCATTCACAGAAAAGAACAATAAAGCCCAATTAACCAGCAGCGCTCGCTCCACCTCCCGACTCAAATGCCTGGGGGAACATCCAGGTCTTGGAAGTCTTGGGAATGGCCAACAGGGTCGGGGTCTTCCAGATCTGTGGGGTGAGGTGTGGTTTTCTCCTTGGTAGTTCCTTGATTAGGGTATTGTTTTCTGCTTGATTGTTTGTCTGGTGTTAGTCCCTGCTTATCTAGGTCTTGGCTGCTGGAAAAGATGTGTTCTGGTCTTTTTGTTTCCCTCTTAGCTTTTTTATTGTCACTTTTGGATGGTGTGTAGATGTGGTTTATCTCTATGTGTCTATTGATGGCATCCTTTGCTGATGCCTAAACTAAGCAGCTCTGAGGATGGAGTGGGAAAAAGATGTTGCAGAGCTATAAAATTTGCCTCATTAAAGCAACCCTTTGGTGAGTCAAATTTCAGAGACCATCTTACCGTTTGGGCTCATCCGGCAGATTAAGAACACAGCCCCCAGCACTGCGAGTATATTCGGGGACAATTTCTTAATAAACTTTCAAAATTTGTTGCTATCCTGGCATCTCCCTTGGTGTTCTTGTCCTTTGGTATCCGACCTGTGAATCCTAAATCAAGCATGGACGCACAAATTAGCGCCAACACCGCCTGTCTCCAATTGTCTCAGCTTGCTCCACCAGAACCAGCAGGGGGGGCATGGGCCAGGTCCCTTCCACCAAGCAATGCCATCTCGCTGGACCCGGGAGCTGCACCTTCTCTGTTGCAGCACCTGTCCGCTGGAACAGCATCCCCCGGAGGTTCAAGAAGGAAACAAAAAGACCAGAACACATCTTTTCCAGCAGCCAAGACCTAGATAAGCAGGGACTAACACCAGACAAACAATCAAGCAGAAAACAATACCCTAATCAAGGAACTACCAAGGAGAA